AAATGCTGTATAGTAACTCTTCTTCTATGAAACCATGAAGAATCTACCAGGGTTATGTACTTTTTAGCTTTGAGAACATTTTACAGAGGCATCAGTTACAGGTCTGATTGTGCATCAAGTTTCGTTCACATGGATTTTTCATGACTTTTTTCTCTTCCTTAGTTTGCAGCAGAAGAGTGCAAGTCAAGAGCAATGAACATGTGACCAGAGCTGGGTCTCTCTAAGTTCATCCCAAACTGGTGCATGGGAATTTGAGTCTTTAACTGCCAAGTTGAAGATCTCCCTCAGATTCACCTTTCAAGAGGTTATTCTGCTCTTCATTATGATTGCTTTTTGGGAAATTTCATCTTTTAAATAGATATTCACTTTCACATATATATTACCACTCTTTTAAGTGGATGCCTCTGAAGCAGAAGGGATTTACGTATTAAAATGTACAAGGAATTGTACTCCCAACTTTGATCTTGATATCAAGAGAAACAAAATAGGTTTGTTCAGCAAAATATCTTGTAGATTACTTCACAGTGGAGCTCTGGGGGTTGCCTCCCTAAGAGGAGGAATGTGTATTTGCTGAGTCTCGGGGGAATTTTAATTTTTTTCTTGTTTAGACTTCCTTTGCCATTTCTAGGACAACAGTTGAATGCAGTGGTATTTGAATATCCCTATACAGAAGGGAACCTGACAGAGGGGGCAGAAGATGCAGTTAATTTTCCTGCTTCAGTCCATAAAATCGCAAGTCTAGTTAGTTTAGTTAGATTAGCTAATTGAGGAAAGCTAAAGAAGTTTGGTGGCCAGAACTGCAATATGCTAGTGGTGGAGGATATAAATTTACAGCTTCCATTTGTGCAGAAATACAACTTTTTTTTGTCCAGAATATCTGATTACCTGGAGAACTATCCCCAGTCCTTTGGTTACATAGTACTGAATCCAGTATATTTATATTATCCTGAAAAGCAAGATCTGGTTCATGAATCAAGAAGCCCATGCTAACAAGAGGGACTCTGAAATCATGTTATTCACATGGTTTTCTTACTTAACATTGTGGTTATAATCTTGTCAGGATAAATAGGATGTTTACAGAGCTATCTATGCCTCCTAACTGAAGACAAACAAATAAGATTTACAAAAGTATCCAGAGTATTGATTTCACTTTTCAAATCCAGTAGATGATCCATGTAGTCTCTCTGTAACGCTTTAAAGAGTGTCTCTTGGACTCATTTTTCATGTCCTCAATGCTGTGGATATAGAAGACCCTAAACAACCTATACTGTACCTATACAGTAGTCTTTGACTGCTGTTGACATTATTATCCTGTTGGAGCAAAAGATGTTGTTTTCCTCCTAGACAGAAATCATAAACAATCTTAAATTATGTATAATGTCTGATTTTTGCTCTGAACAACTAATGATCAAAATGACAAACCAGCCTGATCTCAGGTTCAAACATTATCTCTTTGAAGGCGGTCATCCCATGAGTGACAGACTAAGAAGTGTAAAATCATATGTAAAACAGAATAGTCTGCTCTTCATGGAAAGGAGAGGGTACTTAATTAAGACAAATGGGTGGTCACCTTGAAATTCTTTAGTTTTACAGGCTACTCAGATACCAGATTGATAAGAATTGTGTAAGTACGCAAGCAGAATTCACTACATTATTAGGGCTGATGTTTAGCTAAAAAAGATTCCGTAAAAGCATAATTCATTTCATTTGGGTAAGTAATGATAGCCTCTTCAGCTCCTTTTGCTGGCTTAAAAATTCTAAGGGTTGTCACTCAACAAGCTTCAGGGCAAGAAATGGGTTCAATTCAATATCAGTAATTCACATCATGAGTTTGCTGTATTTGCTGTCTTTTATAAAGGTCTTATACTTATTGATATAACAGATTGTCAGCTTCCAATTAAAAAAAAAAAAAAAAAAAGATTTCCCCCCCCCCGGGTGTCAAAAAAAAAAAAAAAAAAAAAAAAAAAAAACTAAATTTGAACTAAATTTGAAAATCTGAAGGTAATTCAAATGCTGACTTTATCATCTTAGTATCACAACATCTTGTGATTAGATTGAAGAAAGTGGAGCTCACAGATTTTGAAAACTTGATATTGTTCATCCTTATCAACCATAAGGACACCACCACATCCTCCCTCCCTCCCTCAGAATAAAGCCCAGCTCGCTACAGCCTGTTGCCTTTGTCTTTTACAGCATCTGGCAGAGTTGAGATCCAGCTACAGGACTCTGAAAACACAAAAAGCCTTCTAGGACAATCAGTCCTTCTCAGTGCTGGTAGAGAAGCCCATCACTGCATATTTTCCAAAGGTATATTTAACCCAGTTCTGAAAGAGGAGAACAGTAAACCAGCCCATCATTCCTTGCTGTCAATTCATTGACTATCAGCCAACTGTCACAGGCTGCACCTGCATCTCCTCACCTCAGTGAAGGCTCACTCATTGTAAAACCACTAACTGGATCACATTGCTTCTCCACAATGAGGTCACAGGATTTTAGAAGACAGAGGAAGGTTTAAGGTTAACCAAGCTCTTTCAGAAGTTTACAAATAATAAGGCAGGCCAATGAACAGACACTCTGGCCTCCTATAAGTGGGGGACATTGAAGATCAGGCTCCTGCGTGGGTAGCTGGGAATACCCCACTGAAGATGTGCAGTCCCTAGTGTGGGGATGAACAGGCTCAAGCTGCGGGTTGTCTCCTGTACAGCTCTCAGAGCCATCTGCTCTGAATTAGATGGGATTAAAGGCACAGCTGGGCAAATCCCATCTGTCTGTTTGTGCAACACGGGTTTATCCCATGTGAAATAAGGCTTAGAGGCAAGGGCTGCCTTTCTCACATGCAAGGGAAGGTAGTTAACAACCAGAGCTCCTAAAGCTAGATAAAAGAATACAACCCTGTAAGTGAGATATGGCACTTCGGCGGGTCTTTGTTTTGATAGCCTCAGCACAGAACAAAACAAGACAAAGCAGGCAGCAAAGGCTCCGTGTGAGATTCTCTGCAGGCAAAGAAAGTCACAGGCAGGAAAAATACAATCCATACAAATAGCACTGGATTCACAATCACTTTGTGGAGTGAAAAGGTACGTAAGGAGAACAGGGAAATCTGAAGATCACCACATCTCTAAAGAACACAAATACCCATTTCCTTCTTCTCTAGGTGCTTGTCTTGCAAGTATGCAACAAAAAATAAAAACTGTAGAACCAGCCTATTATTAAGACAGTTTCAGGACCCTGTACTTTCTGTTCTGCCGTATTTCTGCCCGCAAACTGCCCTATTAGATGCTATCCTGATCCCAGCTATGCTTAACCACCATCAGCCAAGTCTGAGAGGGCAGCTGGTAGCAGTAGGTGTGCTCACTTACGATTTCCATGCCTATAAAATTCCCCTTTGGTGAAGGTAGTCTCCCCTTCTCCTATTCAAAACAGCTGCTAGTTCTGTGTTAAAGATGCCCACTTCAGTGAACAAAACACAATGGAATGCATAAGGGAAAGATCAAGTAAGATACATTTTACACAGACATGCTGAACTCATATTTTATAAAAATACATTCTCAAGTGAAGACAAGCCTCATACCTACTTCTTCAAATAATACACAGAAGTGAAAGCACTTTTCCATGGTATTTCCACCTGCCTTGGTTTTATCAGTATTCCATGTCATGACATCATGCAACAAGCTGTCCTCTGACAGGGGAATGGGAGGGTGAAAGGGGCCTTACCCCAACTGCCTTCTCCTCTTGTGCATGAAACCATGACACCACTCACAGTTCAATTATTTAAAAATGAATAGGAGCAAAGGAAGGGGAAATGTGACCCCAGTGTCATGGAAGAGAATGGAGTAAGGTTGGAACAAATGGAAATTAAAAAGGGGAGAATGGGAAAACTAGTGAGAAAGAAGGAAAAATGCCTTCTCTTATCACATTCTGGACAAAAAGAAACATTTATCAGTGAAAATATATCATTGTAATACCAGCAAGGTTAAGTGACAGGCACAGCTGCGAGGAAATTTCAAGCAACATGATATTGGCCTCTTTTACAAGAGTGAAAATTACAAGCAACTACAGACAGTGAAATTATTCCAGGTGTACTCTTGGAGATATTATATTGACTAGAACAAGAAGAACTTTTTTGACATTTCTTTTCAGAAAATACTAATCAATAAAATAAAATAAATTATATAAGCAGGCCATTCTGTTTGAGCTTTTTTTACACAATTTTTTAGGAAAATATTGCAGAACTGTCAAAACAGAGCATTTTATCTTCTTTTCAGAAATAGAACATATAGTTTTCTTTTTTTTTTTTTTTTGTGAAATGGAATACAATTCAAGAACTAAGCATAAATTAAAGAACAGTTTTACGCAGCACCTCAGTTGGAAAGGAATGGTATTTTTTTCAGTATCTAATTTTCATAGAAGAAGAAATTCCCTTCCTACCCATTATTAATAAAAACATCTGTATAGCTAATCAAACTTTTTTTTTCAACATCATTGACATAAAAAAAAAAAAGCCTTTTTTTGAAAAGCTCTAGTTTTATATGTCCTTTTGTCAGCTACATAGCATCTTTTGGCAGACAAGATGCCGTGCTATTTAGTTTGTTTATGCTGCAAAGCTTAATAGAAACAATATATTTAATGTGTTTTGGCTGGTCCACACATCGAGCTTTTCTGTATGTAATATAATTACACCACTGCAAAGCTGTGCAGGCAAATACTTTAACTATGATATTCAGATTTTACGATTCTTGTGGCAGACATTGTCTTATTTTATTTCTATATGGGCTCCAGTGGTGGTACTACACAGGTTTTCCTTCACACTACTGCAATACGAGTTAAGTGCATTACCTTATAGAACATGGAGACAATTCTGTTGTCATACTCCAGCCAAATTCTTAGAATACTC